TTCCACGAGACGTTCTCAGGACATCTCTGGCTGAAACGGTCTTGTTTCATCACGTCGGGCTTTTGTTCTAAGACCATTGTTTTGTCCTTAGAACCTTTTTGGGTTCTACGAACATTTCGTGGTGGGACTATAGGAATGCCGGGACGGTCGGTCCCTGCTCAAGATCGGCGAACCCCAGGAAGCAAGCCCCTGGCGAGGTTGCCAGCACCAAACAGGAAGGGAATCCGGCAGGTTCGCGCGGCGATCGCACGCTGGCGATCACGGCGAAGGCGTTCAGGGTCGAAGTCCCTGGCATCGCTCGGACATGTGTATTTTTTCCTCGGCGAGGACCCTTGAGGACCATCCTGGACCATCGAGCAAAACAAACACGCACGAAACCGACAAATGCACGGGAAATGGACGTCCGAGCGACGGCAAGATTCCGCACGATGGAATGACGCGGAAGCATTGATGGACACGGTGACGTTTTCGGAGCCGACAGATTTCAACTTTGAACGATTGGGGCCGCGATCCGTTCAAGTTTGAACGATCGACGCGGTGTGAAAACCCATTGTGCGCGCCGACGCCGCACGAACCTAATTACCGTATCGCCAGCGCCAAGCATGAAAAGAATATGTTTGTTTGGGCGGCTCCCCCCCGGCGATATCTTTACCACATACCCAAAAAGCAAGTGAAGAATTATTTTCGCCGCTCGCCTGGGACCTGGCACACGCGTAAAGAGTGACCCTTCGCCAGAGTGACCTTTGGTGCCGGCTCACAGGGCCCCCCCCCCAGCACTCATTGGCCTGCGCTTTTCCTCCCGAGCACCCCCACTCCCCGAGCACCGAAACGCGTCAGCTCACGTCAGCCCACGTTTGCCCGCGTCCCCCCCCCCCCCCCCCCCTCGCCAGAGCGAAGCCCCCCCCACCCCCAGCACCCCCCCCCGAGCGCCGAAACGTGCCCCCCCCCTCGCCAGAGCGAAGCCCGCTCCCCTTCCCCCGAGCACCCCCCCCTCCCCGAGCACCGAAACGCGTCAGCCCACGTCAGCCCGCGTCAGCCCCCCCCCCCTCGCCAGAGCGAAGCTCGAGCAAGCTCAAGCCCACGCTCTCAGGCGGATTAGTGACTATGATTTGAAGAGGGTCCAAGAGGGAGGAGGCAGGGAGAAGAAGATGATGCGGAGGCGCCACCGATCAGCAATATCGCCAGACTTATTGAGCACATGGGCGAAGCAGACAAACGAATCGTAAATTGCAATGCCTCGATCGGGGATCCTGACGTTTCAAATTTCCGCTGGAAGCGGCTCACACGGCCCCGCCTTCAGCACATTCTACAGAGGTCTGCGAGTTATGTCCGGCCGTGGCGACGAATGCTTCAACACAGTCAGAAATACACACATCTTCCTTCGCGGGCAAAAGGATCTCACCGCAGCGAGACATAGCATGGGGATCGAGCTTTTCATCACACAACACACACACACACGCACACACGCACACACGCACACACGCACACACGCACACACGCACGCACGCACGCACGCACGCGCGCACGCGCGCGCGCACACGCGCACACGCACGCACGCACGCACGCACGCACGCACGCACGCACGCACGCACGCACGCACGCACACACACACACACACACACACACACACACACACACACACACACATACACACACACACACACACACGTGTACACACACACACACACACGCGCGCGCGCGCACGCACGCACGCACGCACGCACGCACGCACGCACATGCACACACACACACACATACACACATTGTTGCACTGCGAGGCGAACCCGCGTTGTGACGGTGACTGATGTAACTGTCCCGGTGAAGGACGGAGAAGAAGAGAGGGGGGGGAAGGAGGGGGCCGACAAGTCGCACCCGCCGAGCGTCTCACGACCGCGCAAGTCGAGACAGCACAAAACAACGACTAGGACCTCGAGCCTGAATTCTCGGACTCGGTTGGCTCACGTAGGGTCTGTGTGCATTTTCCTTCGGCGAGGACCATCGAGGAGCATCCTTGATCAACTTGGCGAAAGACAAACGCACGAAACCAAACAAAACACAGGGAATGGACGTCCGAGCGATGGCCAGGGGTGTGGCCGAGCTTCCCTGGTAGCCCTGGCCTCTTGGGCGGCGAGGCGGCCGCGAGCCCAGCCACGCCAGTGGAGGCACGAGCAGCAGCAGCAGCAGCAGCAGCAGCGGCGTGAACGGCACCGCGCCGACGCTGTAGGGGCACTTGACGGTGAGGGGCGGAGAGGTGTAGGGAACGGGGGGGATGAGAGGCGGAGGGCGAGAGGGGGAGAAGGAGAAGAGAGGGGGAGAGAATAAGAAGAGGAGAGGATGCGGAGGGGAGGAGGAGGAGGAGGAGGAGGAGGAGGAGGAGGAGGAGGAGGAGGAGGTGGAGGAGAGGAGAAGGAGTGGGAGGAGGAGGAGGAGGAGGAGGAGGAGGAGGACTAGGAGGAGGAGGGGGGGCTGGGCAGGAGGAGGGGAGGAGCAGGAGGAGGAGGGGGGGGAGGAGAAGGAGGAGGAGGAGAGGAAGGGGGAGCAGGAGGAGGACGCGAGGCACAGGAGGAGGAGGAGGAGGAGCAGGAGGAGGAGCAGGAGAGGAGGGGGGCGAGAGGGGTGACAGACTGGCCGTCGGCGTCCGCGTCAGGAGGAGGGGCAGGGGGGGGGTCAGGCCGGCAAGCGCTCCCGCCTCAGCGGACATCGGGTGCTCGTGCGCGCGCGAGGCCCTGTTTCCGTCGGCAGGGCGAAGGAAGCCATGGGCCACGCACATCGGAGGCGGCAAGGAGGGGGGTGATGGCTGGGGGGGGGGGGGGGGGGGGGAAATCTCATGGCGGGGGCCATGCTATTTTCCCAGGTTTCGTGGCGCCTCTTCGTATTTCATGACGTCCCTGGCCGCCCCGCTGGGCCGCGCACATGCCGCCGGTCATGATTTGCCCCCTCCCCCCCTCTCGGACACCCCCCTCCTGGGCCGCTCCCGAGCACAGGCGAGACGCAGGAGTGCGGCTGCGAGCTCCGAGCCGGGTCCTCGCCGATCCACGAGTCGGGCAATGCGATGGGCGGCGGGGGCAGGGCTCGGAGCTCGTCGAGCAAGCAAGCAAGCAAGGGACTGCGCACACAAGAACGGCACATTGGTACGGGAAAAAAGTTGACCGCCGTTATGGCAACACTCCTTCACAACGACTTCCCACTCACTCTGTGGCATGTGGCTCAGCAGTGTGTTGAGCCACTCTTCATTGCCAGCAGCTGCAAGCGCGTGCTTGAAAGCACCCTTCGCCCAACTAGTTTTGGGTCTGCCGCGGCGCCTTTGGCCCGCCGGCTCTCTAGGCTGAAATGACAAGCACTCCCTGACGTGGCGAAATTCCAACCCTGACCCCGCCTCCCATCGATGCAGGAGAATCGATGATTGGTGGGGGTAGGGTTCGGCTGTCGCCACCTGCGTAGAACTCTCGGAACGTCCTTGCGGCGCGGTGTTGGGACAGAGGGGCTCGGCGGCGAGCCCAGGGGGGGAAGTGAGGGGGGGCGGGCCCAGGCTTATGTCGGGCCTGTCCCCCTACAGGGAGATCTTCTACGAAAAATAACAAATACCCCCCCACAAAGAAAACGCAAAACATGTCAAAAAATATTCGAAAAATAGTCCCCGTATTATTTTGGGAGCATTTTTGGTGTATGTTTTTGGTATATTTAATATTTTTCGTCGAAGATCCCCCTGTAGGGGGACAGGCCCGACTGAAGCCCAGGCTCGGAAGGCCTCCGGCCTGCTGAGGAGTGCTCCCGAGCCCTCCCCGAGGCACACAGAGGAGTTCTCAGAGGGCGGGGGGGCTTCTGAGAAGCCCGCACGCCTTCTGAGAAGGCCTGCTCCTTCTCACTCCTCACCTCCCCCCGGGCCCGCCGCCACTAGTCGGAGGCAGGGCTGTCGGAAAATTCTTGCGGCGCAGTGCTCCTCCTCCTCCTCCTCCTCCTCCTCCTCCTCCTCCTGTCCCGCGCAGCCAGGCCTTCAGCAGCACTAGCGAAGGCAAAACGCGGGCCGCGCCAAAGTGGGGCGCAAGCTTCATCGGGGGACCGAATGTTGCATAGAGGACAAACAAATACCGAAGCATGAAGTTTCGGAGGTCCGCACGGAATTCTCGGAGCTGCGCTGGAGCCCCCTGGCGGCGCTTCCGGCGCCGCTCCTGGCGCTCTCTGCGCGCCAGGGAGGGGTCCTGCGCCGATCCAAGAGATCAGCGCAGACCTCGGGAACTGTCTGTCCGTGCTCTTGGGTGCTCCCCGATGCCGAGCGCAGGCTGCGAATGCGAGACCAGCGCCTCGCTCCCTTGGGCGCGGCCCCAGCTCTGGCAGCCGAGCCAGCGAGGTGCGTGCGCCGCGCCCGGGCGGGAGCACGGCCCTCCGGCGATCTCTGCGTGCGGCGCTGGGGGCGAGAGCGACGGGCCCCCTGCCCGACGCGCTGGCAGACGAAGGGTGCGCGCCGGGCCGGAGCGGGAGCTCGGCGTTCCCGGGCCATGTGCGCGGCGCTGAGGCGAGCCGGAGGTTTCGACATCTCCCTCGCGGCGTCGGCGGCATTTCGACAGCTCTTGCCACGCATTGCACGGCGTCGGCGACAGCACGTCCACGCGGAAAGGACAGGGTCGGTGCTGTATCGAGATGGGTGGGATGGAGCCACCCATTATAACCAGCTATCGGCCAGCCAGGCTGCAGAGTGGCAGCAATACGAATCAGAAATGAGCATGAGGGAGGAGGCGATGAGGAGAGTGGGGGGGAGGCGCAGGAGGAGGGAGGAGGCGAAAAGAAGGATGGAGGACAGGATGAAGAGGGCGGGGAGGCGGAGGAGGAAGGGCGAAGCGATGAGGATGACGGGATTGGTGGTGGCGGAGGGAGAGGAGGCGATGAGGAGGAAGGAGGGGGGGAGGGGGGGGGAGACGACGAGATGGAAGGGAGAAGAAGGTCGCGTGAGTTGAGGCGGAGGAGGAGGTGGCGGAGGAGGCGGCGAGGAGGACTGGCAGGCTGCGGTGGGAGACACTTTGGGGCCCCGCGGTACGAGCTGCGGACCCCCGGGCGGACTCGGCCCCGTCGCGGCGGCGCCCGGCGTCGCGCAGGCGGCGGGCCGCCCGTTTCACCAGGCGCGCGAGGGCGCCGCGGCGTGTGCGCCAGAGGTCCCTGCCTCGGCTGCACGGGGTCGGCGGAGCTGGGGGTGGGCGCCTGCAGGGGGAGGGCCCTGCACCGGTCAGCCACTCGCAGAGTGGGGGTACAGAGATCGGGGTGGGACAGACCTCCTACCCTGACGCGTCGATTGAGGAGTTGGCCGTTCTCGGTTCGCGGGAGGGCGTCGCGGCCGTCATTTTTGCGGGTCCAGGTCCGTCGGTTTCGATCCCAGGCCGTTTTCCGCAAGGGGAGGTTTACTAAAGGGAGGTTTGTTCACCGCCGAAGTGAGGCCCCTGACATGAGGTCCAGTTCGGGTTCGGAAGGGGCCCGGTGGTTCCTGGGGTCTGCCGGCGTTCCCTCGCCACTGCGCCACGAAGCCCCCATCGGCGTTCTTTGGGTTACGGCGCGCGCGTGTCAGAACGAGAGGCAACGATGAGGGAACGCTTCCAAAAAGGGGCTCGGCCGTTCATTCCATAGTTACGATTTGAATATGAAAAAAAGGGGCTTCGTTCCTTGTGTAGCGTTCCTTCTGGCAGGGGCCTGACTGTATTCGGCGGGGGGGATTCTTCGAAGTCAGCGCCCCTGCTTCTTAGAAGGCGGGGGCCGTTTCTACAGATGTAGGGCCGGGGCCTTCTAAGAAGCAACCTCCTTCTAAGAAGCCTTCCCCCCCCCTACCCCATGTGTGCGCGCCGTCTACGGGGGGGTGGGCTCTGTAGGGGCTGGGCTGCGCAGGGGGAGGGGAGGGGACGAAAAGCGAGCTCCCTATGTGGCCACGAGAAACGTTTGAGGGATGCGCCTGACTGGGGGGTGGAACCCCATGCGGACCCTCCCTCTGAGGCCTGCGGTGGACCTCCCTGTGGGGCCACGACGCGTGTGAGGGGTGTGCCGACATGGGCGGGGAGCCGCATGTGGATTGTAACATTGGGGCCTTCGGTTGAGCTCACTGTGGGGCCACAACGCGTGTGAGGGGTGTGCCAGAGTGGGCGCGGAACATCATGTTGACTTTGCCACTGGGGCTTTCGGTGGTCCTTGTGGGGCCGCGAAACGTGCAAGTGGTGGTCCTTGCGGGGCCGCGAAACGTGCAAGTGGTGCGCCGAAATGGGCGGGGAACCGCATGTGGTCTTTGCCACAGAGGCCCTCGGTGGGGCTCCCTATGGGACCACGGGACGTTTGAGGGATGCGCCCACATGGGCGGGGAGCCGAATGTGGACTTTGCCACTGAGGCCTTCGGTGGAGCTCCTTGTGGGTCACTGAACGTGTGAGGGGTGCGCCGAAGTGGGCGGGGAACCGCATGTGGGTCTTTGCCTCTGGGGACTTCGGTGGAGATCCCCATGTTGCCACGAAACGTGTGAGGAGAGCGTCGAGATGGGTAGGGGGCTGCATGTGGACTCTGCCATTGTAGTCTTCGGTGGGGCTCCCTGCGGGGCTACGAATCGTGCAAGAAGTGTGTGCCGAAGTGGGCGCGGCTCCTCATGTGGATTTTGCCACTGGGGCTTTCGATGGTCCCTGTGGGGCCGCGAAACGTGCAAGGGGTGTATCGAAATGGGCGGGGAACCGCGCGTGGTCTTTGCCATTGGGGCTTTCAGTGGGGCTCCCCATGGGACCACGAAGCGTTTGAGGGATGCGCCCACATGGGCGGGGAACCGCATGCGGACGCTGCCAAGTGGGCCTTCGGTGGAGCTCCCCATGGGGCCACGAAACGTGCGAGGGTGTGCCAAAACAGGAGACATGTGGAGGGCAGATGCAGGGATGGGAGGAGGGCGAGCAGGAGGGGGAGGAGGAGGAGGAGGAGGAGGGGGAGGAGGAGGGACGCGGGGCGCTGTCTCTTCAAATCGAGGACCCAACTCAACACAGGATGGTTGGCAAACCAATGATCGTATGTTTGGATTGTGGGCGTCAGGACCCCCCCTCCCCCCGAAAAAACAAACTCCCACGCTCACCCCCATCTGGGCTGCTCCGCGGGGGGAGCCCTCCCGACCCCCCCCCCACGCTCAGGTGTGCTTCCTCAGCCCTCCTGTGGTGGGTTCTCGTTTTGAGTAGGGCACTGTGCGCTCCAAGTCTGTTTCTCCGCCTCCTGCCTCCTGCATCCTGGCGCCTCTTCCTCCTCTTCCTCCTCCATTCTCTCCTTCGTCCTGCTTGCGTCTCTGGGGGGGTGCGAAGTGCGCAACTGTCTCCACGTTCGTGGGGAGGTCCCGCGGAGCGGGGGGAACACGGGGATCCAGTTGAGATCTCGCGGTTATTTGGGGGGGTGCGAAGTACGCCATTGTCGCTATTGCCGTGGGTTCTTGGGAGGTCCCGCGCAGTGGGGGGTGATCGGGATCCAGTTGGGACATCGCGGCTCCCTGGGGGGCTGCGAAATGTGCAATTGCCGCCATGTTCTTGGGTTCTTGGGAGGTCCCGCGCAGTGGTGAGACACGGGGATCGTGTTGAGACCTCGCGGCTCGCTGGGGGGGTTGCGAAGTGCGTCATTGTCGCCACTTTCGTGGGCTCCTGGGAGGCCCCGCGAAGTGGGGGGACACGAGGATCCAGTTGAGGCTTCGCGGCTCCTTGTGGGGTTGCGAAGTGAGCAATTTCGTCACGTTCGAGCGCCTTTGGGAGGTACCGCGGAGTTAGAGAGGGACGGAATCCAGTTGAGACCTCGCGGCTACCTCGATGCTTGCGAAGTGCGCAATTGTCGCCACGGACTTGGATTCTTGGAAGGTCCCGCGGAGGGGGGGGGACACGGGGATCCAGTTGAGACTTCGCGGCTCCTGGGGGGGCTGCGAATTGCACAATTGCTAATATGTTCGTGGACTCTTGAGGTCCCGCAGCGTGTGGGGACACGGAGATCCAGTTGAGGCCTCGCGGCTCCCTAGAAGGGTTGCGAAGTGCACAAGTGCCGAGACGTTCGTTGGGACCCGGGAGGTCCCGCGGAGCGGGGGGGCACGGGGAACCAGATCCAGTTGAGATCTCTCGGCTTTTTGGGAAGCTGCGAGGTGCGCAGTTGTCGCCACGTTCGTGGGATCCTGGGAGGTCCCGCGGAGTGAGGGGACACGGGGAACCAGCCGACACTTCGCGGCTATGTGGGGGGCTGCGAAGTGCGCAATGGTCGTCATTTTCGTGTGTCAATGGGAGGTCTCGCGCAGTGGGGGGGCACGGGGATCCAGTCGACACCTCGCGGCTATGTGCGAAGTGCGCAATTGTCGCCACTTTCGTGTGTCATTGGGAGGCCTCGCGCAGTGGGGGGACACGGGGATCCACTGGGACCTCGCGGCTGCTTGGGTGGCTGCAAATTGCGCCATTGTCACCATTGCCGTGGGTTCCTGGGAGGTCCCGCGGGGCGGGGGGATCACGGGGATCCAGTTGAGACCTCGCGGCTAGTTCGGTGCCTGCGAAGTGCGCAATTGCGGCCACGTTCGTGGATTCCTGGAAGGTCCCGCAGAGTGGGGGGGCACTGAGATCCAGTTGAGAACCTCGCGGCTCCTGGGGGACTGCGAAGTGCGCAATTGCCGCCACGGTCGTGGGTTCCTGGGAGGTCCCGCGAAGTGGGGGGACAAGAGTATCCAGTTGAGACCTCACGGCTCATGGGGGGTTGCAAAGTGCGCAATTGCCGCCAGTGTCGTGGGCTCTTGGTTGGGAGGTCCCGCGGAGTGGGGGGATCCATTTGAGACCTGGCAGCTCCCTGGGGGGCTGTGAAGTGCGCAATTGTCGCCACTTTCGTGGGCTCCTGGGAGTTCCAGCGCAGTGGGGGGACACGGGGATCCAGTTGAGACTTCGCGGCTTCCTGTGGGGCTGCGAATTGTCGCCACTTTCGTGGACTCCTGAGAGGTCCAGCGGAGTGGGTGGCCAAGCGGACCCAGCCGACACCTCGCGGCTCCCTGGGGGCTGGCACCTGCGAGGCAGGGCGGAGTGGGGTGTCACGCACACACGTCGCCGGGACCTCGCGGCTCCCTGGGGGGCTGGCAGGGCTGGCAGCTGCGCGACAGGCGCCATTTTCGTGGGCTCTCGGCAAGCGGAGCGGTGTGGGGTGCCACGCACACCTCGCCGAGATCGCGCGGCTCCCTCGGGGGCGGGGCAGTGCGCAATTGTCGCCACTTCCATGGGTTCCTGGGAAGTCCACCGGAGTGGAGGTGTACGTGCGCAGACCCAGCCGTTATTCTCGTATTCCCGCCGCCGTTTCTGATTTCAGTTCTGGGTGTACATGCGCACTGCGGGTCTTTCAATCTGTTCGCTGTCTGTGAGCGGGCCTGGATATAGTCGCCATATGTTTAGAAAGGGTTGGGTACGTCACCGGGTCATGTTGTTTGTTGCGCGGTTTTTCGCGGGGGGGCTCCAGGAGGCTCCCCTCCCTGGCATTCGGCGATCCCCTAGCAGGTTTCGTGAACCAACGGGAAGCTTCACCGAATGCCTCAGACGCAGGATCCGCACGCAGTGCCACCGCCCATCTCGGCGCATCCCTCACACGTGTCGTGGCCTCGCTAGGGGAAGCGCGCCACTGGATCCCTGGTAATTGAAGAGGAAGGTTGTGCTCGCAGAACCCATCCCCCCCCCACCCGTTCAAAAAGGGGTTGAGGTTTTCGGACCTCACCTTAGAAAGGGGGGGGGGTCGGACCCAACCCCCACCTTGGAAAGGGTGGCGGGGGGCTTCCCGACCACCCCCCGCTTTGCTCTGGAAACGGGGGGGGGAGATTTCGGACCCCACCCTCCCCATTTGCGCCGGACAGGGGGCCAGGGAAAGGGAGTGGGGAGCAGGGAGTAGGGGTTAGCGGGTATTGAGTAGTGAGTAGTTAGAAGCGAGTAGGGAGTGGGTAGTGACTAGAGGGCAGGGAATAGTGAGTAGTGAGTAGCGGGGAGTGAGTAGTGAGTAATGAGAAGTGGTTAGTGGGTAGTGGGTAGGAAGTAGTGGGTGGTGAGTAGGGAGTAGTGGGTAGTGAGGGTAGTGAGTAGTGAGCAGGCAGTAGTGAGTAGTGCCCAGCGAGTACTGAGTCTTGACTTGTTAGTAGTGCGCAGCGAGTAGTGAGTAGTGGGTAGTTCGGCGGGCGTAGTGAGTATGTGAGTAGCGAGTAGGGAATAGTGTGTAGTGAGCAGTGAGTAGTGCGTACGGAGTAGGAAAACGGAGCGGGAGCAGTTAGCAGTGGGTAGTGGGTAGTGATTAGCGAGTATTCGGCAATGAGTAGTGAGTAGGGAGTTGGTAGTAGTGAGTCGTGAGTTGTAAGTAATGTTTCGTGAGTAGTGACTGGTGAGGAGTGTGTTGTGAGTAGTCACTAGCGAGTACGGAGTAGCCAGTGGTGAGTATTAGGCCGTAGTGGGTAATGAGCAGGGGGTACCGAGTAGTGGGTAGTAGTGAGTAGTGGCTAGCGACGAGTGTTCATTGAGTAGTGGGTAGTGAATGAGGGAAGGAAATGGGTGAACCGTAAAAAGTGATTAGTGGGTAGTGGGTAGTGAGTGCTGGGTAGTGAGTAGTGAGTAGTCAGTATTCACTAGTGAATATTCAGTACACAATTATGTGTAGTGAATAGTGGTAGGGAGTAGTGAGTAGTTAGTAGTTGGGAGTAGGGGGTTTGTAGTAGTGAGTAGTGAATAGAAGGTCGTGGGTTGTGAGTAACGACCTGCGACTAGTGAGTGGTGAGTTGCGATATGTGGGTCGTGAGTGGCGAGTTTTGAGTCGAGAGTAGTGGGTTGAGAGTAGAGCGTAGGGAGTAGTGAGGATAGTGTCTTGAGTAGTGATGATCGTGTCATGAGTAGTTCGTGGTGAGTATTGCGTCGTGAGTAGTGACAACTGAGTAGTGGGTAGCGAGTCGTGAGTAATGAGTAGTGTGTAGTGATCGGGGTAGGGTTCGGCTCAGGAGTGGGGTAGGGCTTACAGCATAGGGTTTTGGGTTGGAGGTGGTAGGCGTCGGGTTCTGGTGGACATAGTGGGCGGTGCGGCGAAGGTGGCCCCAGGGGGCGCCACCGAAGACACCAGTGTCAGAGCCTGCATGGGGTTCCACCCCCCCGTTCGGCGCATCCCTCACATGTGTCGTGGCCCCCACAGGGAGCTCAATCGAAGGCACCAGTGGCAGGCAGGGCCTGCATGCGGTTCCACCCCCCAAAGGGAGCTCCACCGAAGGCACCACTTGCAGAATCCGAACGAGGTTCCACCCCATTTCGGCGCACATCTCACGCGCTTCGTGGCCCGATAGGTGGTTCAACCGAAGGCCCCAGTGGCAGGGTCCTTCTGCAGTTCCCCTCCCGTCTTCGGCGCTCCCCTCACACGCTTCGTGGCCCCAAATGGAATCCCACCGAAGGCCCGCATACGGTTCAACCCCGCATTTCGGCGCACCCACCGGGAGCTTCACCGACCTCCCCGCTCCCCCCCCTCCTCCCCCCTCGTCCCTCCTCCCTCCTCCCCGTCCTCCCTCCTCCCTCCTCCCCGTCCTCCCTCCTCCCTCCCCCTCCTCCCTCCTCCCCCCTTCCCTCCTCCTGCTCCGCCACCTCCTCCTCCTCGACCTCCTCCTCCTCATCCGATACGTAGGGCGTTTTTTCTTTCGGCGCGCGAGTTGCAGCCGCAGGCCCTAGTTCGGCAACAGCACAGCCGTCACTCAGTAAGCAGCGGCGCTGGCGTTGGATACTTTTTCCCTTGAGCTCCTTTCGCATTGCTTGGGCCCGGTAGCAGCACAATGGTAGGAGACCCCCGCCTCTCATCTCCCTCGTTTCTTTCCCTCCTTCGTCAACCCCCTCCCCCAACCCATTAACCATCACTCCAACCGCCTCGTCAAGGTCCATCCAGCCCTCTCCCCCGACCCGTCGCCCCTGTCACCCTCATGTTCCCATCTGTTCTTCGTTGTAGTCTTGAAGCGGCCCCTCGCCATCAGCACCATAGCCTGAAGAGCGCCGCATTGCTCAGTGTGACCTAAAAGCGTTGCCGCGTGTCCAGATCTCTTGTCATCCCCCTGACGCGCGTGCAGTGCCGTGCCGCCACCCCTCTTCCTCTGCAGACTGAATCGCCTCGCGTTGGCGCTTGCAGCTGCAAGCCGCACCGAGAAGCTCGATCTTCCCACGCGGTGCTTGGAGCGACTTGGCATCGCTCGGACGTGTGCATTGTTCTTTCGGCGAGGACCATCGAGGAGCATCCTTGATCTCATTTCGCAACACAAAAAAAAAACGCACGAAACCGAACAAAAACACAGGAAATGGATGTCCGAGCGATGGCCAGGCGATGCCGTAGCTAGCTGCGTACACTTCTGGGTCACCAGGCGACACAGGCGCTGTGTGCCAGCAGGTCCGGAGCCTGGCGGTGCACACGAGTACCATGCGAGCATCAGCGAGGGAGGAATGGCAGCCCCAGTCGAAGGAGCATTTGCTTGAACACGTCATTGCGCACGGGCGTGACAGAAAGGGCGCCCAGCAATGAGAGGGTGCGGGAGGCGAAGAAGGCTGGCGACGATTCGTCTTCCAGCAGTTCTTCCAGCAAGTCCTCCGACCTCTTCGAAGGTCCGCCCATGGCCCAGGGCAGAGAGGGTCACTCGCACGCAACGAGCATATCAATACTCATGCACTCGCGGTCTGTATGCCCATGCGTGATCCCATGGATACGCTCCCCGTGGGGTACCCGCGCAAAGGCATCCTTTACCCCGTGGGGCCGCGGCCGGGGAGACCCGACCGTGCGCCCGTGGATATGCATATGTCCACCGCCCGTGATTTACGATCGCGCGTCCTCAGCGGATTCCCACCGGGGGCCAGCTCGTGACCGTGCCAGGGCGCTTCCTCCCTCGTTCTCGAGTGTGACTGTTTTGGGGCTTCTGTAAACGGGTTGAATGGCTTGGCGGGCGGGGGGGAAGGATGGAGGGCAAGCAGCACAGGCATCGGCTGGAGCACGAGCGGCTGGAGCCGCAGCCGCTTCCCGCGCCCACTGGAGCCCCGGAAAGCCAGACTTCAGTGTCTCGTCTCGGGAACTGAGCAGCACGGAGCCCTAGCGGGCACGCATGCGCGGGAGCCGCGCTCGGGTGCCATCGGCGCAGATCCACGGCGCTTGCTGCCACAGCACCCTGTTCGCGCACGCTGTAATCACAGGATCGCGGTTGATGTCGTCGGGTTTTTGTTGGCCCCTTCCCTCCACGAAGTCAGCCCCGCCACTGCTTGCCGCGCGTGCCGTGCTCAACATCGGGGAGAAGAGATCACGTTCTTGGGCGGTGCAGGGTCTGCCACTACGTGGGCCAGAATGTTCCACACCAGCGCCGCCCCTCACGCCCTCCCCGCGCGGGGGCGGGGAGGATGGATGGAGAGGAGGGAGGGAGGGAGGAAGGGAGGAGTCAGTCTGTCTGTCTGTCTGTCTTCCCCATTCCGGCTCCACACGTCAGATCGCCAGTTGGCTGCTGTGGGCCACGGCTCTGATCGCCAGATCTCCTTCCCCTTTGGAGTGCTCGCACCCACGAGGCACGAAGCAGCCTGCAGAAGCCGAGGGGGTTCGGAGGTGGTGGAACTGCGGCCAGCGCCTCGCTGGCTCGCCCCACGTGGAACGGGCCCCAGGGAGGGGGGAGGCTTAGGTCGGGCCTGCCCCCCTACAGGGGGATTTTCGACGACAAATTTCAAATACCCAACAATAGCCCAAGAAGTTCAAAGAATATTCAAAAAATAGTCCCCAGAGTATGTTTGGATTATTTTTTGACTATTTTGGGGGTATAGTTTTCGTCGAAAATCCCCGTGTAAGGGAAGGCGAGGGGAGCTGTGCAACCCCTCGGAGGCTGGGACACAAGGGCCACTTCCACCTGTTGGCACGCCTAGCCCCGACCCCCGCCCCACGGTCACGACACAACTATTCATCTGTGACCAAGCGCACCGGCTTGCCGCGAGGGGCCCTTCCAGGCCCGAAGAAGCGGATGTAGAACAGTCCTGAGCTGTTGCTGCCTTGGCCGCTGTTGCTCCTAACCTCGACCACGAGCGGGGATCGAAGGACGCGCGCACCGGCCTGGGCCTCTGCCTCCTGTCCTGCCTCCCCGCCTCCGACGACACTCCACATGGCCGCCTGCTCCTCCAGGATGCGACCTCTCCCCTCGGTGGTCTGGCAGTGCGGCCTGGGAGGAGGAGGAGGAGGAGGAGGAGGAGGAGGAGGAGGAGGAGGAGGAGGAGGAGGATGGGGAGAAGAGGGGGAGGAGGCGGCGGAGGAGGAGGAGGAGGAGGAGGAGGAGGAGGGAGGCGGAGGAGGAGGAGGAGGAGGAGGAGAGGAGGAGGAGTGGAGGAGGAGGGGAGGAGGGAGGAGGAGGAGGAGGAGGAGGAGGAGGCGGAGGAGGAGGAGGAGGAGGAAGGAGGAGGAGGAGGAAGGAGGAGGAGGAGGAGGAGGAGGAGGGAGGAGGAAGAGGAGGAGGGGGAGGGGAGGAGGAGGAGGAGGAGCGGGAGGAGGAGGAGAGGAGGAGGAGGAGGACGGAGGAGGAGGACGGAGGAGGGGGCGGGGGAGGAGGAGGAGGAGGAGGAGGAGGAGGAGGAGGAGGAGGAGGAGGAGGAGGAGGAGGAGGAGAGGAGGAGAGGAGGAGGAGGATGGGGAGAACAGGGGGAGGAGGAGGAGGAGGCGGAGGAGGAGGAGGAGGAGGAGGGAGAGGAGAGGAGGAGGAGGAAGAGGGAGGAGGGAGGAGGGAGGAGGGAGGAGGGAGGAGGGAGGGGAGGGAGGAGGGAGGAGGAGGAGGAGGAGGGAGGAGGGAGGAGGGAGGAGGAGGAGGAGGCAGGAGGAGCAGGGCAGGAGCAGGAGAAGAAGGAGGAGGAGGAGGTGGGAGGAGGAGGGCAGGAGGAGGAGGAGGGGTAGGGGGAGGGGGAGGGGGAGCGGGAGGGAGAGGAGGAGGGAGGAGGGAGGAGGAGGCGGAGGCGGAGGCGGAGGAGGAGGAGGAGGAGGAGGAGGAGGAGGAGGAGGAGGAGGAGGAGGAGGAGGAGGAGGGGGCCAGTGGTCGGCCCCCGTTCCACCTGCCGGGCATCTGCAGGGGTTTCGTCCTCTCTCCCCTCGCCGCGCCTCCTCTGCCCCAGCCTGCCTCTGGCCTGCTCATCCCCATCCTCCTCCCAGCCATGCCTTCGTCGCCAATCGCAGCCTGCCCAAACGATGCTCCTTGTCGTCCTCATCCTCCCCACCCTCCTCTTTCTCCTCCTCCCTGGTCCACCTCTGGCCCTTACCCCTCCATTCCAAACATGGGAGGGCTGGACGAACAGGAGGGCTGCAGAGAGAGGGGATTAGAAAGTCTGCGGAATGCAGCTGGTTTCGGCCCTGCCGCCGAGCACTTTCCTCGATAGGTGGCCGCTCCCGGCCCTGGGAGGCGCTTGGAAAACCATCAGCATGCAGCTGTCCGCCCCTTGTCGTTCCAAAGGCTCACACAATTCCGCCGACCGCCAGATGGGAAGATGTTCGGCGTACGGTGTTGTTGTCTGCTTGTAGTTGCTTCTGGGTGACCTCAGAAATGGATGGACACCGTCGCGCCCATGGGTAGCGTTCGAGTTTTGGGGTTGTGCAAGGTGTGGCTGCCGCGCAATCGCTACTCCGCGCATGGGGCTCACTGAAATCTGTTGCGCTTCGCGCATGATACGAGATGTTCTAGGGGTGACGTCAGAGATGGGGGACTGATAAGGCCATCTTGTTGGGGCAGGGCCCTGGGGCATCTTTGCGTTCCTCTCTGGCCTCTCTTGGGGCGTTCGGAGTCCCTCATGACACCTCTTAGACAGCGCAGGGGCCGTCGTGGGCAGGTTTTGCGTCCACCTATACGCATCTTGGGCTGTCTTGGGCTGGTTCAGGGGATTTTGTTTTACGAGTGGTGGGGTGGTGGCGCGTCGACAGAAGTTTCTCATCATGGGATGCCGAGAGTGAGAGAGACGGCGGAAGAGCATGACATGGGTGGTGACGACGGTGAGAATACGACGGTGGAACGCGCTATCGGAAGCCCGTGATCGTTCGAGGTCGAACCGTCCATGGGGTGTCATGACAACCAACGCGGCCGTCATCGCGGCGCGAATTCTCTGTATCGCCACTCAGAGCTCATAGCGGCGCAGCGCAGAAGTCGTAGAACAGTTGGCTTCGTTTCGCTCCTCCATTCCTTCGTTCCTCGTCCGCCCCCGCCTCCCCCGCGTAGGCCTCAACTTTGTCATGGACAAGGGGTTCGGCTCTGGAGGCGACGTCAGGAGACATGGCTGGGGCCCGCGCGCACGCGCACCGCGTTTTCTTCATATTCCTGGTCCGTCGGAGAGTCTGTGAGTTCTGGCTGCGCTGTTTGCGGCCGCTCGGACGGGGCATCTGTGGACGGGCTCCCTGGGGTACAGTCGAGTTCGATTACAAGTTCGACCTCGCCAGATCAAGGGTATTATGATGTCTTGTGTTTAGTGGCCGATGCCTCCTACATTTCCATGGCAATGCTAGATGGGGTCAGACCAGATGGTGTCGGAAGATTTTGCCGCATCGCCGATACATCGGAGATGCGGCTCGATGTGGGGCCCCCTTTTTTCACGCCGACGTCGCCGACGCATCGCCGCCGCCTCCGATGTATCGCCGAGGCATCGGCGATGCGATGCTGTTGTATCGGCGGTGCATCGGCGATGCGGCGCGATCCTCCGACCCTATTTGACCTCAGGAGGTCGTTAGTTATGGCCCCCCGCTGTTTCTCGGCGAGGAATAGACTCTTCCCTCCTCCTGCCCCTCCTCGTTCTCTTCCTCCTCACCTCGTCCTCCTCCTTCGTTTCCTCCTCCTCTTTCCTTTCCTGCTGCTCCTGAAGAGGGAAGGAGGAGGAGGAGGAGGAGGAGGAGGAGGAGGAGGAGGAGGAGGAGGAGGAGGAGGAGGAGGAGGAGGAGAGGCACCTCGAGGAGATGGGTGACGGGGAGGCCCTCGTGATGGCCAGACCCTGTCGCGTGAGAGTGCAACGCCAGGACGAGGGATGTCCTCGTGGGCTCCCTCCTCCCCTTCTATGCCTTTCTATAGCTCCGGCGGCTCAAACCTGGGGCCTTGGGGCCCTTCTGAGGCCCCGAATCCAGCCCACGTTTTGATGGAGGCCCGCAGCGCCACGCCAGGATGAGGCCTGGAGCCGAGGCCGAGGGTGGCTTGGCATCGCTCGGACATGTGCAGTTTTCCTTCGTCGAGGACCATCGAGGAGCATCCTTGATCATTTGGCGAAAAAAACACGCACGACACCGAACAAAAAACACAGGGAATGGACGTCCGAGCGATGGCAGGGTGGCGCTGAGGGCGCGGCCGCCGTCACGGTCGGGGAGGAGGGCCCGAACGGGCCCCATGAGGGCGGCCTTCGTGGGGGCCCGTCGGGGATCTGTAGCTTTGCCCCCGTGCTTTTTGTCGGCAGGAGATAAGCTCGTCCCTCCTCCTGCACCTCCTCCTCCTCCTCCTCCCTTCTTCTTCCTCCTCCTCCTCCCTTCTTCTTCCTCCTCCTCCTCCTCCTCCTCTCCTCCTCCTCCTCCTCCTTCTCCTTTTCATCCTCCCACCCCTTATCACCCTACTCCGCCTCCTCCTCCTCCTCCTCCTTCTCCTGTTGGTCCTCATCCTCCTCATCTTCCTCCTCCCCCTCCTCAGTCCTCCTCCTCCTACTCCTCCTCCTCCTCCTCCTCCTCCTCATCATCATCATCATCATCATCTTCCTCTTCTTCCTCCCTATTTTCCCGTTCCCCTTGTTTTCCTCCTCCTCGTCCTCCTCCCCCTCTTATCCTCCTCCGTCGCCCCCTCCTCCTCTCCTCATCCTCCTCCCCTCCTCCACTTCCTGAGCTGGTCCAGCCTTCTGTTCCTGGTCCACTACACAGTTACCTCGACCCCCGTCCGCGTCGAGTCCGACGCGCCCCTCCCCCCACCCCCAAACCCCCCGCGGCCTTTGCGTTTGAGAAGCCTGCGAGGACGGGGTCGAGACCACAACTCCAGCGAAGTTTGGCTTTGGTTTTTGGCTTTCCAGGGACAGGAGGAAGCTGTTTCCTTGGGTGTCTGGGTTGCGGATCAGGCCCGCGATGGGGCCCCCGGAGGCTCGGACGACCCCCTTCCTCCCAAGTGGTGAGCCAGGGGGGTTCTATTCGAGCTGGCAGTCGCTCTTAACCCTTCTGTATCCCGTATTCAATTATCCTTCCAAATAGGTCACACCTTTCGTTGTCCTGGATGCTCATCCGCCGCCGCCTCCTCCTCCTCCTTTTCCTCCTTTCCTCCTCCTCCTTCCTCCTCCTCCTCCTCCTCCTCCTCCTTCTCCTCCTCCTCCTCCTCCTCTCCTCCTTCCTCCTCCCCGTCTCCTCACTTCTTCCAGCTCATTCTCCAACTTCACTCAGCATCAGCATCGTCATCACCAGTATCGTCATGATCCTGTCACTTCTTCTCGTGTTCCCCCTGCTCCTCCCCGTGGTCGCTATCGTACTTGTCGGTCGTTGTCGTCATCGCCGTCGCCGTCGTCGTCGTCGTCATTGTCGCGGCGGGGGCGATCTTCCTCTTATCTCATGGCCTTCGACCGCCGCCTCGCCTGGGCTGTTAGACTGAAGCTTACAGGATGGTCGTTGGGATCTCGCGGGAGGTATTTGGGGCCGATTGGAGGGTCTTTTGGGTTTCGTGGGGGTTGGGGCAGCCTCTTGGGGGCCCCTTGGGCGTGAGCTGGTAACGCCGGCGCTAGTTTCGCCGGCGCTGGTTTCGCCCCGCTAGTTTCGCTGACGGCTGGTTTCGCCGGCGCTGTTTTCGCTGGCGCTGTTTTCGCCCCGCCGGTTTCGCCGGCGCTGGTTTCGCCGGCGGCTGGTTTCGCCGGCGCTGGTTTCGCTAGCGCTGGTTACGCTGGCGCTGCTTTCGCCAACGCCTTCGTCGCCGTCGGCGTCGCCGTCGCCGCCGTCGCCGCCGTCGCCGTCGTCGTCGCCGCCGTCGTTGGTGTTGTCGTCGTCGTCGTGCGGGTCGGGTCGGCTCGGACAGGCGGACCCTGGCGAGCGGGTCGGGTCGGTTCAGGCGGGCGGACCCTAGCGGGCGGGTCGGGTCGGGTCGGGCGGGACTAAGGTGTGGGGCGCGCTCGCCCGAGCACGCGCGAACCGTAACGGGCGAGTCGTGTCGGGCGGGCGAACCCTGGCGGGCGGGTCGGGTCGGGTCGGGCGGGCGGACCCTAACGAGCGGGTCTGGTCGGGCGAGCTGAAGATTAAAGTTTTGGGCACGCGCGAACCCTCAGGGGCAGGTCGGGTCGGGCGGGCGGAATCTAGCGGGCGGGTCGGGCCGTGTCGGGCGGGCGGACCTTAGCGGGCGAGTCGGGCTGGGCGGGCGGGACATGAAAGTGTGGGGCACGCTTGACCTAGCACGCGAGCTTAACGGGCGGGTCGGGTCGGGCGGGCAGACCCTAGCTGGCGGGTCGGGCCGGTTCGGGCGGGCGGACCTTGGCGGGTCGGGCCAGGTCGGGTTGGCGGATATTAGGTGTGGGGCACACTCGACCGAGCACGCGCGAAACCATACGGGTGGGTCGGGTCGGGCGGGCGGACACCCGCGGGCGGGTCGGATCGGGCGGCGGCAGCGGATTCCGCCGACGGCACTTGGTTTCGCCGACGGCAGCTGGTTTTGCCGACGGCAGCTGGTTTCGACGACGGAAGCGGGTTTCGCCGACGGCGGCTGGTTTCGCCGGCGGCGAAACCAAACCAGCCGTCGGCGAAACCAGCGGTTGCAGCACATTTGGGGCCACATCGGGGTCTCCTGGGCTGTTCTTGGAGCCTCTTGGGGCTTCCCGGGGCGGAAAGTTTGGATGTTTGGTTTGCGCCCTGTGTCGTGGCCCTTTTCCGGGGCCGTCGTGTTGGCCTCTTTGGCCATTTTGGGTGCCTCCTTCCCAGGGTGTTCTTGCCTGTTCGGCCGTTTGGGGGTGGTCTCGGAGGCTTTTCGGATCGTTATGGAGCGTCGGAACGCCGAACAAGTGAAAACGCCCAAATCCATCAAAACGCAAAGACACCGAACGGTTCTGACCTCTTGGGGGATTCTGGGGGGAAGCTTCCAAAAGGCTTTTCGGGCGTTTTGGAGGCCCTCGTGGGCCGCCTGGGGGCCATCTTGAGCGCACTTGGGCGGATCTTTGGGCGACCCGGGGCCGTCTTGGGCTGTCTCGGGGCTCTCTCTTGGGCCCCAGGAGTCGGGCGACCAGCTGCGGGGGGGGTCCTCGGGGGCACGCGGGGGGCCCCAGCTGAATTTTCGGATCTGGGGTTCCGGGCCCTTTTTGAAGATCTCGTCAGGACTGAGGACGGAATCTAAGTCTCCTGGACGGGGTCCGAGCAGATGGGGTCGGAGGGTCGCGCCGCATCGTTGATGCATCGACGATGCGGGTCGATGTGGAGACCGATCTTCCCCACGCCCATGTCGCGGCTGCGTCGCAGACTTCGTCGATGCATCGCCGATGCATTGGCGATGCATTGGCGATGCGGCGCGATCCTTCGACCCCATCTGCTCAGGACCCATCTACAGTGCCATTTCTAATACATGGTCCGCGTGCGGGTCATGTATACAAGAAATACAGGGTTTAGCATTAAAAACAACAATGAGTTCATGCATAAATCTATTCATACATTGATCATGTATTAAGAATCCTGTATTTCTAAAAATTATATGTATTAAAAACTGCGCTGTAGGATGCTTCTGCGGAGGCTCCAGGGATTGGGCAAGAGGGCCGAAGGGCACGCCCACGCCGTGCCCAGAGGCGCGGTGGCGGATCTGTGGGGCGGGCTGAGTAATGTTTGGGGGGCTCTTGCCCCCCGGGAATATCAGGAGGGGAAAAACACACAGACACAATGAATCGCCGATTCCCCAGAAAAGATGGGAAAATATGGGAATGGGGGGGAAAACAAAAACAACCCAAAATATATATAATTTTTGGGATTTGTTTTATTTGTGTGTATTTATTTGTGTGTCCTGGGGCCCCTTTAGAATTTTCCATCCTGGGCCACCCTGCACGCGAAAGGGCTTGTGAGCATCTCAGCATGAGAAATGCAACAGGAATCCAAGCTTGTGGTCGTAGTCGTGACAGTCGGCGCGGTTGCGATCTTTATTGCAATAGTGGTTATAGTCGCGACTGCAGTCGCAACCGTAGTCGTGGATGTAGTCGTAATCGTATTCGTCGTCGTCGCGGTGGAGATTCTAATCTTTCTGTTTTGGGTGGTATACCTATATGGATAATGTTCTCTTGTTCTTCCGCAGGGAATGGCCAAA